TCCGCTGTTCGACAAACTCATTTCTCATCTCATATTGCGCTTTAATTAACCGAAATGCAAACCAGTATAAAAGGATAAAAGGATAAAGCTCTCAGCATTGATTCTCAGCATCCCTGAGGGATGCGCCATACATTCGACTTAACTAAGCATCGTTGGAGGTGATTGAGTGCATGTCTGGCGTTTACGTGACTCGCGGTGTCGTACCGATGTGTCGAGCAAGTTTGCTATCCTCAAAGATATCTCCGGTACTAATTTGCCGATCCCGGAGGGATGGAGGGCTTGGTGAACCATGTGTGCGGGGATCGATTCGAAGTGTGTGTGGCAGGGCGCCTCCGAACATTGTGCCACACGCGCCCATTTTCAAACTAGCATAGTGTTCAAATATTTGCCAAGGGGTGAGGTACTCCATCTCTACCAATATCAGTTATTCAAGTTAATGGAAATTTATTGACTGTTATCAAACAACTACCATCTGAAAATGCTTCCACTTTCTCCAAACTCCTCTCTCACCTCATAGTGTGCAATACTAGTAGGAATAAACTAGTATGCCATTGAAATATCTGTCGTATGGTTGCAAATTTTCCTGCTCAACGAAAAGGTGTCGTTCAAGTCAATGGAAAATTGTTAGCGCTTGTCAGAAAGACAGCATCGTCATGAATCTGTTGAAAATGGAGACTTAAAAAAATAAAAAAGTGTAGGGCTCGTACATTTTCGTATGACATGCATTTATATTGTTTCATCACATTTTATCATGTTGTAAAATAAGTGTTCTATTATTGTAAGATATTCTAGTATGTTCATATCGGACACGGCCACCACGGCGATGATGGTGCCGATCGGACATTCGGTAGTTAGTCATTTAGTGGCATCTTACAGTTCACATCAGGAAAACAGGTAAGTATTACAATAGACTGCTTAATTAATGGACCACAGCCACACGATAACAAGACTCATTAAACTATTGTAAGAGTACAAAAGACCGCCCTGTTTCACTTTCATTGATTTATAGAAGGCCTTTGATTCAGTTGAGATAAAAGCAGTCTTGGAAGCCCTTGATAGTCAAGGAGTCCCTGCTCAGGATATAAAGATTCTTCGAGAACTGTACAAAAATTTCACAACCAAGATATCACCATACTACAACGATATCAACACCGACGTGAGAAGAGGTGTTAGGCAAGGTGATATACCATCGTGTCAAAATTATTTACCGCCACCCTCCAGAACGTCATGGGAATATTGGAATGGGATAACATGGTTGTGAAAATCGATGGTCGGCAGTTATACCATCTTCGCTTTGCTGATGACATCGTCCTTATAACACCAAGCATTAGCCAAGCAGAACGTATGCTTGACGTCTTTGATAAAGCCTGTGGAAAGATTGGTCTTCGACTAAATCTCACAAAAACGATGTTCATGAAGAACGAATTCGTTTCGCATGCCCCATTCACGGTCAACGGAATGAATATCTCCGAATTGTCCAACTACATCAATCTAGATCAGGAAATCAATATGATGAACGACCTAGCTCTAGAGCTGAGTAGAAGGAAACGAGCGGCTTGGGGAGCTTTCGAGAACTTCGAAGAAGTAGTGAGGAGAATAAAGAACACCCGACTCCGGACCCACCTTTCCGACTCAACGGTACTTCCCGCCCTAACGTATCCGTCAGAAACCTGGTCGTTACGTAAGCAGGAAGAAAGGTCACTTAGCGTTATTGAATGCGTAGTCGAAACGACGCTAGGAGTATCCCGTTCCACACAAGGGATGGGCTCCGAAGCTCCGACCTTTGTGTATCCGTATAAAAGAATACCTAGATGGTAAACGAAAACTAAGACAATGTACCCCACTGAGCACGCTATACAAAAGCATAGCGGAAACGATTTTGAAGTAAAAGTCAATATCCCTGCACAGGAGACTAATGCACTAGCGCAAAAACTTCTTGAGGCTTTTTGGATAAATTATAAAATCCTACAATGAATAGCAGTGATGAATGCCCAGAGGTCATACACAACCTGGCTCAGTATGTTCTCATCAATTTCTGATGTAGGATAGTGCAGCCATCAACCATTTGCAACTATAATCAGCTGTTCCAAACTTCCTCATTGGAAGTCACGAAAAAGCGGTGGGTTTTTCGAGAACCTGTTGATCATGTAATTACCATAGAGTTTTTCGTCTTTTTGTAAGTGTTATTGAAGCGTTTGGTCTAGTAGATTGTATATCAGTATGCCCTTCCAGGTTCTGAAGAAGGCGATACTGCCAAGACGTCAGCTCCTGTTGTATTGTATTGTGTTTTTCTATGGAAGTAAATCACTCAGCGTTGTTGAACGCGCAGTCGAAAGGACGATGCTAGGAGTATCCCGTTTCACACGAGTAAGGGATGTTATCTGAAGCTCCGACCTGCGTCAATGATCAAAAATCAAACATGCCGTTCTGTAAGCCAAATAGTCGAAGATAATGTGGGTCGGACACATAATGCGTATGAATGACATGGACCGATGGACAAGAGCCGTTAGTCACTGGACTCCTCGGGATGTCAAACGTACTGCAGAAAGACCACCGACCCGATGGTCAGAGTTTTTCACAAAGAACCTTGAAGAAAGACATGAAGTTCGACGAGTCCCTAGAGCGAGCAGAACCCACTGGGCAACTCTTGCACGCGACAGCGAGAAATGAAAGATTCACTGGCGCTCGCTTGAGTCACTCTACGACACGTGTTACAGACGTACTTAAAAAATGTCTGTTTTAAGAGATGTAGTCAAGCGGTGCTTGTTGGAAACATAAAGTTATGGTGGAAACCGTTGTCTCACACGGAGTTGATCGTTTTAGAGTTAGCTTTGGCTGTACGTTAAGGATCTAAAAATCGAATCCACTTGTGCTGATATGGCTGATTTACATGTGCTCGACGCCATTTGGTTGTTCTCTAACTCCATTCTAAGGATATTCTCGTTCACATATCGATTTTTTTCTATTCTATGACCGACACATCGACATTTACTTCTTGACAGGTATTACGGATTACTACTGAACGCGCCATTATCTGTCTTCAAAAAGCATTACTCAAGTCCTTTGTGTGCATGCTACATCATCGATAAATGCATCTCGAAAGGCTGGAATATGCGTTCCATCAAATAAGTAAATACAAAGGTTTGGAACAGATGGATGGTAACTGGACTCTTGTCTTAACATCTGTTTAATAAAAAGAGGCATCTCAAACAATAAACCGAACCTGTACTGCGCTAATTTGAGTAATGTAAAGACCTATCATGCGTAAAAGAGCTTTCTGATTTCTTTAGCCATTGAGCAACGACGATAAAGCTATTTCACCAATTAATCATTTGATGGTAGAGAAATACGCAGGGCGACACACTGCTTAAGCCGTTCACCGCTGCGTCACAATGCTGTGCGCATTCATTCCACTGTGGCAACAAAAAGATGCAGGTAGATGGCCAACTGCTCTCGTCTTTCCATATTTCTCTATTTCCAATGATGTTGTTGTTCTTTTTTCTACGTACCTCAAAGCAAACCACCTCAGAAGCAGTAACAAAATTTACCGAGTTCAACGAAGAAAAGAGGAAAAGTGAGCTACAAAAAACAGGAAGAACACTCACGGAGAACTCCAGTTCACGAATATGAGGCAGAACGTACTACATTGTACGGAGCTCTTAGAAGACTCTATCTTACGATTATGCTAAGTACGTCTAATGAATATGTTGGTTTGAGAAAAGAACCAGGCAGGGCACGAAGAGCAGCAGATGAATGCTGACCATTAGTATAGACTATCCCACAAATACAACCAGTGCGTCATACCCTTGTGCATCCGTAATGCATCTGATGTGAGATTTGTTTCGTCTACTGGAGCCATTGTGAGTACTTTCCACATCATGGTGGCCTCGCGAAAGAGCGCTGAGACAAGATTTCGATGCGTACAACTGAATGATGCCAATGATCCAAGCAAGTTGAAGCACTATTAGGCACGTAGGCAGTCTTCATAAAATGTTGGGAATATATCGTCGCTTTATGTATGATGCCACTGATGCCTTATTTTTTGTTAAATGCTTACCTAGTATAGTTTTTTCCAAAGTCGAGAAATGACCACGTTGGAGCATTCCTAGATGTTCACTACAAACAGTCTCAGAACTCGATCATACGGTAAGTTTCCGCTTTCGTGCTAAATTTCTTCGAAAGCGACAACGTTTTATTCGTTTACAGCGAGCTCTGTGATTAGTCAGCCACATCTCAAAGAAGATATAGTAACACAGAAGTCCCACAATTTTTCAATTCTTCAGGACTGACGCCACACGTGCCGAGTAGATCGTGTGATAGTGGGCATATTCGTCAACTCAGTTTGCTTTTTAGTTAAGCTGAAATGCCATATATTGAATTGGATAATGAGCGCTTTTGTTTTAAAAACAAAATATCAGTGGTACATATGAAACGTTGAAATATCACTGAAAGAGCAGGGCATTCGTATAAAAAATACTTAAATTCCTGAATTGAACACCTCCACGGGAAATCTAGGCCCTAGCATATTTTTCTTTTAATTGGTGTGTTAGTTTGCGTTTGGGGACAACCGAGTTTTCTCCACTGGTAGTCGTGAATCAGAGTTTCCTCAAAATTAAGGATTTTTTTTACGCGACCCGTGTATTCAAATCTACTGTGCGGACATTAGTAGTTCTCGCATCCAGCATTCACTATGGTCTTCGAACAGTTCGCGTGTGAATTCGGTAACTGCTTGAGGATTTTTCTCTCTATCATAAATGCTACCAAATGCTGGTGGAGTCGATTCCTCCTGGAGTCCTTGAATAGCCGGCTAGCCCGTTCCCATTGCGATTATAAGGAGTGTCTCCCAGATGAGCTCTGTTCCCACTTTGCAGCACTGAAAGGATGAGAGGCATTCTGAGGTAAGTGTGGGTCGAGATGGAAGCTGCATTGGTTTCACGCCTTCGGTGATGAAAATTTTGTACAAAACAATCCCAAAGAAAAGTTCAACTTATTCTGCAAACATGTACTTGCCGTTTCGCTTTTTTATGTTTATGTTTGTTCAATTACGCCCAAAATTTCTGATCTTGAATTATTTTCCAGCTACAGATTGAATTTTTAGAAGTCTAAATCCACTAGATTGCAAGCGTGTGTCGACAGCTCTGGTGTTGTGCATCTCCATCGCCGCGAACATCGGTGGCACGGGAATGCTAACTGGTACTGCGCCCAATTTGGTAATGGTGGGGCAGTTACAGGAGTGAGTGAGTGAACAATTCACCGCCCGTCTAAAAAACCTTCAATTTCGGAACTACCTAAAAATTCTTCACTAGCATACACCCAGCTTGAAAGGATTTGTAATGCTTCACATTTCTTCTTCTTCTTCTTTCATTCAGAAGCTTTTCAACGTCGTATTCACAAACCGTAAAAACTGCGTGGTGCTTTTGACCTTGTGTATACTAAAAAAAAATCTTTTTAGAAAATCGCATTTCAATAAAAGTGCCACAAAAATAAATTTTTTAAACACCGATCAAATATGGAAGTGCAAACGCCCTTTGTCGTGGTCAAGACCGGTGTAAATTTAACATTCTACGCCACCTCTCGTTTCACTTTTCGGGTCTTAAAGCTTCAATATTACGTTGAAATTGACAGGATACTGCAGAATTACCTACATAGAGTAACAAGTTGGTTCCATGAATTTAATGGGATAGTTCAGAGTAGTGCAGAATCCACAGACTGCTGACATCCATTGAAAGTTGCACTAGGCAGCTTAAATTGTACCCTGGGTGTTTCAGACCGTTCGCATTTCGTTACATATCAGGATGAAGAATCTAAGAAATTTCTCCAAGAAAGATTGTTGAAGGATTTTTTACGATACACTCACTTTTTTCAAGCAGAGCAATTTATTTTCTGCGCGACTGCATTGAGTTCTAAGTCAAAGTTGACAGCGGTGTTAGGTTAGAAGAGAGCCGACCATGGTTTTATGTACAACTGCGCACTGCAGTATCCGAGCTTCTTCAGCTTATAAAATGGAGTGAGTTTCATGTACGATAAGGAAATTTTTTCGAATTTTTTTTTACAAAGTAGGGAGTTCGGAAGGAAAAATCCCGTATTTGAACATTTGAATACACTCCACCAGAATCACGAAGAATTCTGTAGGCCGCTGCAAAGTTTTTGTTTGAATGGTAGCTGCTTTTCAGAAAGCATTTTCCTTTCAATAAGAGGATTGCTTAAGGTGTCCTAGGTCGTCAAAGAGAGTGCCAGCACATATCTGTTTTGTTGCTAAGATTTCAATGATTTTTGAGAATAGATTCTTCTTCCTCCCAACGATTTACCGCCTCATCGTAGTTGAACGGTGTCCCTAGGTGTCGGACTGCGATGTACAGAGGGGAGGAGAGATACAACACTTTGGCAGGATCTTCCAAGCTGAGAAGGAGTCCGGCATTTTTATCAAGAAATCTAGCTAAGAGCAAACCATCCTGGTACCAAGCAAGGTGAATGGTGGAAAATCTCCCTCTGATCCACAAGAGCAGCGACTGCCTGTAGTGGTGACCACCTGGGGTAGACTTTGGCCAGGTCGTTCCCGAGGCTCCTGGAAGCCACATTAGCTGAACAAGCAGAACTTCGGAAAATGGAGATTACTCTGGGAGCCGCATAACGAGTGAAAATAGGCCGTCCAGGTGTCCAAGTGGCTTCCTCTTAGCTGATCTTTCCGATGGGAAGCTTTTTCTGCTTGAACCGCTTTGCTGAAGATAAAGCACTGTTGTAAATCGCAGTTTAAGGTCTACGAACAGCCCAAGCCATGTTGAAGTACTAAAGGAGGAGTGAAAATGGTTATTTGGGCTGAAATGTGACTGTATGGATGAACTAAATAAAGACTTCGATCGGTCTCCGCCTCAGCAATCAACTGTCAGCGGAATTAATCTGGAGAGCTCAAATCGGCAACGAACCCAGTTAAGTTGAGGCTTTAGTTATAGTCACAATCTTAAGCGTTTTATTTACTGTCTAGTATGTTTAATGGGAGGGTATGATGCGAAATATAACTTTAACGATGCTGCGATATTTGCAAAATTCCAGACCGCAGGTGTCTGCGGTGGGGAACGAACGCGCTATTGTCCATTGCTAGCGGCAGAGATCGACGGAACTAGCTGGGAGACAGGCGAAACGAAGGACCCGCATGGTATGGTGGTGAGCACGTTATTCCCCGGAAAGGACAATATCGCGTTTGTTCCTCACCATAGACACCTGCGTACCAGGGTTTTTCAAATATCTCAGCACCGTTAAAAGTTATATTTTGCAATATACCCTGCCGTTAAAAAGAATAGGCAGTAAATAATAAGTTAAAATTGTGATTATAACTGCAGCCTCAGCTCAACAGGCTTCATTGCCGATTTGAGCTTAGTGGTAAATTGCAATGCATAGCATAGTGACTGTTCTGGCATGAATATTCACCATTATATGAAGTCATCTCTTTCCATTTATGGCATTTTAGTAAATTCTACAAAATAAATGCTATTTTTTGATAACAGATTCCACTGGGATTTACACGAATAACGATTTCCCATCTTCGAAAAACCTTGGCGTGCTCTTTCTTGTAGAGATGCTCTCTCAGAATTCATAGCACTTCTCCACTCTCAGAAAATGATGACTACAGGTTCTTCTTCATTTACAATGACATTGGAAATCTGGCTTTTTTGTAAAAAATAATTGTTTATAGGTGGACAGAGGCTTCAAGAGGCTGACTTTCTATAATCCGCGCCGTAAATAATTGATACATTTATATATACGAACTCTACTAGTTGAGCTTATGCCGCTTCGATTTATGTTGTCGTTGTTGTTGACTTCGATTTTTATAGATTGTTTGGTGATGTTGAGTCGTCTATGAATTATATGAAGTGGTTTCTCTTCGCATTTCCGTTGATGTGCTTCAATCTGGCAGCAGCTTGGACCATCTTAACCGTGTTTTTCCTCCGAAATACACCTGGAAAGGACGAGCATATCACTGAGTTAATACAAAAGAGATACGCCGACCTGCCCAAAGCAAGGTTGCAGCTATACTATTCTTAAAGTTTCTACCTTAAAAATATTACCTCTGTCGCTCCAAAAGGATAAAGTGTTCGATGTAAATTAATCTTTGAGGGTACAGTGGTGCAATGCGTTCGCCACCATCGAGTATCATAAAGGCAATTGAATACATATTTAGCCCGTACCTTTTGGAATGCTGCCGCAGCCGTGAGCCAACCCTTTTGTCTTTTCAGGGAAGTGTGACACATATTTGCCGACGCCCGAAGGATGGAAGGTATGAAGAACCCAAGCTGCCAAGTTAAATCGACGACCGTTCTGTATTAAAAGGCAGCTCTAACTACCGAGCCACATGCACCCAGTTCGCTCTGAGATGTGCCTGGGGATAAAAACTTTTACATAAAGAGATCAGCAAAAGTAGTTGTAAAAGCCAAATATGCGTTCAATCACTTTTAGAATGCCTAGTCGAGTGGAATCCATAGCGCATTCCTTCGGGGTTAATAAATAACCATCGATCCTTTACACTTCATTATTTTCAAGCCAATTTCTCATTTACTGACACCAGTAATCAATGACAGACTCAGCCCAACTTGCTTCAAAGTACCCTTTAATCGATCAAAGTGATGAAACGCATACACTTTTTGTATGCGGTCCGTTACTTTCATTGTACCTGGCGGAAGAGTGGACATAGATGGTTCGCCGTACATTCGCATAGGTTAACTCTAGTTTGCCTTCTGGATGGAAAAATTGAACTCTTTCTGAACTTAGGTTGCGCTGCTGGCAACGTGCTTTTGCTGTATGTCGCATTTCGATGATCAAGAACCAGCTATGGTCTTTATGAAGTTACTAAGCCACTGGCTTTCATTTCCTTTCTATATGAGTGCTACAGAGCGGTTTGCCGATTAAATATGCACAGCAGCACAACAGTTATCCGATGTAGCACGATAACGGCAATCTGTAGCATATATCTCTCTTGATGCCATCTGTTAATCGTAGTCTTGTAATCTCGTCCTCTTTCCAGTTATGCAGAGAAGTCCGTGATATGCTGCTTTGTTCTTCTTCTGTCGTTATGGATGTTCAGAAATCCAGGATTTATGAAAGGTATTCTTTCACATTCTTGAATTTTTTGTCAAGTAAAGATATTTGACGTTGTTCCTGCTTAACAAAGTTAGAAACACCAACGAGAATGAAGATATTCTCCACAATGTAACGAGGTTAATCGAGATATAAGAACTTTTATACCTGCGTTATTTTGAACCTCATGCTAACAAAACATTACTGAGAGCTGCACCAAGACGATGTGATTCCACGTCTAGGCTTTCCTCCGAAATCGTCTGCGTCTATAAATGAAAGAACTGCGTAACAAAATCAAGGGCGTCTTAAATGTGTCTCAGCATTATTCTCCCTATAAACAGCTGATGGTCCTCAAAACTAACGTGCGAAACGGTTTGTGTTGTTGCGTTTTTCATAGGAGAGCACTTGCCAGCTTCTTAAAGGGCCGGTGCCATTTTCAGCACAGAAGGATCCTGTCTATTCGTGAGTTCAGTTGTGATTTAGCTGACTGCTCTCTTTTAAAAACGCGTCCAGCAAACGTCGCCCTTTCTGTCTTAGAGCACCTAGCTGTCGCTATCGGTCAGTAGGTCCTTCAAAAACTGCCTGTTTTAAGATAGCAGTAGCACTGTGGGAGGATGACGCTTAAGTAGGCCTTTCAATTAATGTGGATTCCATTAGGTCACTACTCCACGGTGACGGGTCGTTGATAGGTGTTTCTCAATGATGGAACACCGAGTACTCAATAATCATGCATAATAAAACGAATTGCATCCGGATACTTAAATATACCTCGCCGTTTTCGACAGCAGAGTGTTGTTTCCTACCGTCACCACCGCTGAGATTCATACCACTGTCGAGAATGCGTATGAACCAAGTGGACACGGTGGAATTACACATAAGGTGTTTGGCGAATGTACGCTTAGTGCCTACACGGTCAGTCACACTTATACTCATGGCCGTGGTTAGCTCACATGGCAGAGGTTCCTTGCAATACTCATGGCTCGATCACGCTTACTAGGCTAATCGGCCTCTCCAGCCTTCCGGGAACTGCAAACATTGAGTCTATAGTTGGTAAGCCAACTGAAACTAGTGTATAGATAAAATTTCCACTCGTTCATCTTTATGTTGCCAGTTTGAGATGCGCGTGTGGGGTAACCGCCAAGGAATTATCAATGGCGAGCGCTCTTATGGCTTTACCGGTGAATGTTTTGTTTGTAAACTTGTTTTGGATTTAACCTTAAAAAAATCGAAAACGATACTTGAATTTCTAAAATTTCCAAAGCAAGCGCGATAGTTACGAGCACAGTGGCATATTGGGGAACGTGATCGTGTTTTGCTAGACAAGACCACCACACCTATTCAATATAAGAAAGCTTACATTGTAACAAAAACGTCTTCCATACTGTAGTCTAGTTTCGAATCCATGGCTCGCCTTGAACTGGGAATCTGTTAAATACGTCACGAGAGCATTCATCATTTTTGTAGGACACGCATTTGCTCCGATGCATGCTGATATTATGCGGCAGTAGAATACTAGAACTTAATTATTGTTCAGGCTTTGGCGCACTTCTACCTAAAGGCAGTTACACTGACGCCACGTCAGCTATAATAGTTGCTATTCTTCTTTTCGCGCTACCGAGCGAGAAGCCAGACCTATTGACTTACAAAACAAAGGAAGACATTAACAAGGTATAGAAGTATATAATCATCTTCCTTTACTACTTCGATTTTTAAGACGCATTGACTAAAATCCCATTTTTTAAAATGTACTAATTAAGAGATCCTTTAGCAATGCCGTTTAATGGACTGGCCGACCATGCAGAAGAGATTTCCTTGGAATGTTGTACTTTTGTTGGGAGGTGGATTCGCTTTAGCTGCTGGTTGGTGATCGAGAGAAAAAAATGAGATAATGTTGAAAAACATTTTTGCTGTTAAAAGCCACATATTGTAAGGGGGTGTTTCAATTTATAGATAATAGTGACTGAATCCTCATCACTTATGATTACTTTATGATAGAAATATCCTAAACATCCTGGTTGCTGGAATTGTTGCAGTTCAGGTGTAAAGGAGTCCGGTTTGTCGGTGATGGTTGGTAGAACGTTGGCGGCTTTTAACCAGCTTCCGTTGTGGGTCATGCAAATGGTAACAATGGCAGTAGTAATGGCAATCACCAATATCTGCAGCAACACCGTCACGGCTACAGTTTTCGTACCAATAGTCGCTACAATGGTATGGCATTACCGATTTTTTGCACAATTGTCTACAAACATTTTTTGAGATCTCCACTCATTTCACATTTAGATTTAAATTCAGAGGCTCGTTTGAGCTTCCATGAATGTGCATACCGTTCGATCCTGCGGCCCATGCCAGCTAAGCTTTCTATCTCTTCGGAGCTAGCAAATTCGTACCGTGCTTGCCTGAGAGGGTAGAAAGACTTACTTGATACATTATTAGACCGCGTACGTTATTTTTTGGCTTAAATACCCATTGGATCAGTTCTACGTCGCTTAATGAGGTTGAGTGAATGATGCGCCACTCAGGATTGGTCAACGACAAGCGTTGTCTTTTTCTCTTATCATTCACACCCACTTTATACAGGTATTCTCAAATAGACCGCCTCAATTCACTAAGAATTGTGCAGGATCCAACACAGTCTACATTTGAGTGATGTTATTCTTAACTGTGTTTTGGACGAAAATACCGAACTCCTCACTTGGAGGAACGCTTTCCGTACTCCGCCGATCGTTCCTCAGTAACATCTTTGGTCCACGATGAGGTAATAGAATACTAGAAAGGTGATCACTGGTATTAAAACCTTTTCAACGCCACCTTTTTACAGATTAATTGACAATTAAGTTAGTGAATTCCGCATTCATTTGCTTGTAATATTTTTAAGGGTGCTGAAATGAAACGACATCCTTTCACTCTGATGATACCAGCGACATTATCATGTTCATTCGCATTTGTTCTTCCGGTAGGCACACCGTCGAATGCCATTGTGTTCAGTTCAGGAATGGTCAAAGTTTACGATATGGTAGGCGTACTGTTGTCGTTAACACTATTGCTACTGTAAACTACAAAAGGTTTAAATGCCGGAAAACTAGTAAAAAGAGGTCGAACCATACCTTGTAATTTTAGTCATACACTTTACGCTGTTAAACATTCATCGTTTTATTGTTTATAAGCCATCCAATTATTCAATGGAGACCAGCCGCACAGACTTGAGAGTCAGAGTAAGCTGATGAGGAATATCTCTGGCTTAGGGCGAAAAATCAGAGCGTGGTACAGCGCGAGGTCACGGGTGATCATAAGAAACTCTCTCTGCAGTTCATTTCTGAAATTTTGCAATTCTTCCAAAACGCTCCGATAGATTTACCCGCTAATAGTTCAGGTTCGCATGCGAGAGTAGTGACTTTTGCTTCAAAATCCTCCACATCATTTCTCCATGCCCTGTGCGCCCTCGAGAAATATTTGCTTTAAACTTCAATTTACCAACTAATGTTTCCTTATACGGGACACACAGTGGTCTCTCGTTTCGCTAATGTATTCCTTGCCGCACGCTTTACAAGAGATCAGATAAACCGTACCCGAACATTTTGGGAACTGGTGCTGCCTTCTATAGTATGCTGAAGAAGACGGAAACGCCATGGAAAGGGTATACAAGAGTTAAAGTTGAATCGAGTTGCTCACAAATGTTATAAGATGTGGATACACTAAAAATGGGCATAAAAAATAAATGGATTTTAGGCAAGTGCCGGATTTACTATTTCGCTGGCCTGTCTCGTTATAACGCTGGTGTATATGAACACTATAGCCCACATCTGCTTACCACTTTCCGAGTTTCCCGCTTGGGCAGAACTGTCCAACTCATCTTGGACGGTGTGAGCAGATGAAGCAGGGCCATCTATCGTTTTCGACCAGTTTACCATCCAAAGGTTTCGGCTGAGTATTTTGAAGCATTGCCTTCAGATAGAAAATACCGTTCTCATTTGTTGTCCAATTATTCCATGCTCAATTGCTTTAGAATAGTTCTACAACATATAAGCGAAATTGTGGAATTTTCTTCTCATTGTTCATATCATCGTGATTTTCTCAGTAAGTATACATTTCGAGCAGTGGTGTTTGGAGACCCCAGAATTTAAACAGTTTTTGCTCGCATGAATGACCCAGAAATTTCTAAGCAATGACGATCAGCTGTTCTGTTGTCCTTTCGTCATCTACAGGATAGCCTAACTATCTTTCCGTCATAAATTATAGCCTAAACCCCTTGTCGATCATCGAGTTAGTGTTGTTATGGGTTTCGGAAAGTTTTCTTCAGAATCTATATCGTTAACTCAAAAGTAGATCGATAGTTATTGCTAGTCATGGGCGACACCACTGATGTACTTCACATCTTCGACATTATAATTAGTGGTTGCGGGAAGAACGAGTGGAAGTCGACCAAATGTGGAAAATGAGTGGGCAGCACAGTCCATCTCCTCCTCTGGAGAACAATCGACCACCATTTGAAGTTGGCTTCTCAGTGATTCCTCTGCTCCACTCATTATCAACTCACCTTTTTGATGTGATATTTGCCTCTGCCCATGTTTACCACTTATTTGCTGACGTGATTTACTATGTTGATGCAAATTTCCGTGTTTTTGTCTCTTTAAGCAGTTCCTTCAAACTCGCTTCGTGCTAAATTGATGTGATGTTGATATGTTTACCACTGGTGATACAATAAAACTAATTTTGCTTCATTGGAAACTATTACTACAAAACCTAAACCAAGTTTATTGTTGGTTTTTGTTACTTTAAAAATGCCACGAGGGAACAGGAAGGCTCTAACTGTGTAATACCATGATTCTGTAATCATTCGATTGTTCAGACCGGATGTATAATACTAGAGAAACTATACGTGGAATGAAGATGTAGTTTTGGAGAATAAAGGATCAGTAAGGTGGACAGCTTATGTACAAACTTACATCAACGTTTACAACAGGTTTATATGGAACTTTTTAGAAGGAATCGTATCTGCACTGGATGTTCTGCCCGTATTTCAAAGAGTAAAGAAGCTGCTGCTCATCTTTTAACGAAAATCTCCACCATTATTTTTCGTTATGTACGCGCCTCTCTTATGATCACGTCCCGAATAATTTGTATGAAAGAAGTAAACCCACATCATATACTATCTTTTCTTAGTAATAACTCCAAAGACTTGCCAGCGGTGACTTTAAGGAGTCAGTACGTTCCTTCTCACTCACAAGCACGATTATCTTTACTATAAGGATCTTTAGAGCAGTTTGTTGATGAGAATGATTAAGTGTGGCTAAGTCGGGATCCCGAACGAGATGGCACTCGACCAGCGCTCAACATAAGCGCGAAGACAGACCATTGCGAGTCGTCTGGGGAATATACTGATTAACAAACCACATTTGTCACCTGTTTGAGGCTCTGCGCGGCTGGTCTCAACCGAATAACTGGAAAACATACAAAGGACAAAATGGTGAATGCTCAAGAGAACTGCAACCGTATATGTAACTTTATAACAGATGGTCGTTCACGTCACCCATGCTGAATCTTAGATACTCAAGTTGATTATCGAAATAGCCCGAGTCAGCATTAGTACACGCTCCATTTGTACTGCTCATAAGCCTGAGCTGCCGAATCGGTAACTACGAGTACCCAGATGGATTCCGCCTGCTTAAACATGAAGAACATTATCACATATTTATTTACGTGGTCTTATAAACTGATCTTTTTAAGCTGACGCGAGGTTGGTACAGATCTTCGTTGTCTTTGTCGTTGTTTTTGATGTTATTGATCGATGGCTGACGTTTCGGAGACTTCGCCTTCCTCAGAGCCTGGACGTACTTTATGTTAGAATACTTTTTATTATTCGGTGGAAAAGAAGGTTAAAGTATTAATGAATACCAAACTTTCAAATAGACGCCATATTGAACAGAAAGGCCACTCAGCGTGATGTTACGTGCGGGACTGGCCCACACGTAGTTCACGTGGAGTCGCGAGCAAGTCACGCCCAGGGGTCAAAATATCATTTTGAAATAGGGCGCCAGGTCACGCGTGATAGTGAGGCATTCGTCATTCCGGTTCCTCTTTGGATTTTTCAAATTTATCCAAAACGCCTCAAGAGTTTTGCGCGTTGATGTTTTTGATTCCTGCGCTAGGATCCGCACATTTACTTCAAAATCATCGCCGTTGTGCTTTTGTGCCCTATGCGTACCTAGAGGGGTGTTTAAACGGATTTTAGCTTTCCCATCTAGATGTTTATTTATGCGGACACAAAGTGGTCTACCCGTTTCCCCGATATATTCCTCGCCGCATGCATTACATGAGATCAAGTATATTATACCTAAACTCATGCAATCCCCCTCTCTCCCGTTAGGACAGATCATACAGTTTTCTGCACAAACGATCATAGAGACGGTTTCGAACTAACTGGTGGCATAGGGTGTTTGTATGGGATGTCTATAAACGTTACATAATTTTCAAGACCACTTTTTCTTAAGCACTTAAGCTGCCCTTCATATCAAATAAAGTAAGTCACGCCATTAAAAAGTGGCCATTAAAACAAAAAACATCGGTTTCATATGCGACTGATCCAACAAATACGCACCAAGCAACGATGTCATTCTAGCACCTGCATCACCTGTAGCCCTGTTGATCGTCGAGCGACTCGAACGGGGCCAGAAAATCTTCCATTTTTTTTTGTCGCGGCAAGAGTAGCCCAGTGGGTTCTGCTCGCTCTAGAGACTCTAGACATCATATCTTTCTTTACGGCTCTTTGTGACTGTAACCATCGGGTCGGTGATCTTCCTGCAGTACGTTTGACATCCCGAGGAATCCAGTCACTAACGGCTCTTGTCCATCGATCCATGTCATTCATACGCATTATGTGTCCGACCCACATTATCTTCGTCTATTTGGCTTACAGAACGGCATGCTTGATTTTTGATCGTTGACGCAGGTCGGAGCTTCAGATACCATCCCTTACTCGTGTGAAACGGGATACTCCTAGCATCTCTTTATAACTCGAAAGACCGACTTTCTATGAACCTCGGCATAAATAGTTGATATATTTATTTATGAGATCTTATAAACTGATCTTCTTAAGCTGACGCGAGGTTGGTACAGATCTTCGTTGTCGTTGTCGTTGTCGTTGTTTTTGATGTTATTGATCGATGGCTGACGTTTCGGCGACTTCGCCTTCCTCAGAGCCTGGACGTACTTTATGTTAGAATACTTTTTATTATTCGGTGGAAAAGAAGGTTAAGGTATTAATGAAGCTCCTAGCATCGTCCTTTCGACTGCACGTTCAACAACGCTGAGTGATTTACTTCCATAGAAAAACACAATACAATACAACAGGAGCTGACGTCTTGGCAGTATCGCCTTCTTCAGAACCTGGAAGGGTGTACTGATATACAATCTACTAGACCAAACGCTTCAATAACACTTACAAAAAGACGAAAGACTCTTTGGTAATTACATGATCAACAGGTTCTCGAAAAACCCACCGCTTTTTACGTGACTTTCAATGAGGAAGATTAGAACAGCTGATTATAGTCGCATATGGTTGATGACTGCACTATCCTACATCAGAAATTGATGAGAACATACTGAGCAAGGTTGTGTATGACCTCTGGGCATTCATCACTGCTATTCATTGTAGGATTTTGGAATTTATCCAAAAAGCCTCAAGAAGTTTCTGCGCTAGTGCTTTAGTCTCCTGTGCAGGGATATTGACTTTTACTTCAAAATCGTCTCCGCTATGCTTTTGTACGTGCCTAGTGGGTACATTCTCTTAGTTTTCTTTTACCATCTAGGTATTCTTTTATACGGATACACAAAGGTCGGAGCTTCGGAGCCCATCCCTTGTGTGGAACGGGATACTCCTAGCGTCGTTTCGACTACGCATTCAATAACGCTGAGTGACCTTTCTTCCTGCTTACGTAACGACCAGGTTTCTGACGGATACCTTAGGGCGGGAAGTACCGTTGAGTCGGAAAGGTGGGCCCGGAGTCGGGTGCTCTTTTTTCTCCTCACTACTTCTTCGAAGTTCTCGAAAGCTCC